CTAGTGAACTTTACTTTGCTCACTGCTGTGCCCTGAAATGGACTGGAACATTCGCATCGGAAAGCAAGGTCATGTGTTTATTTTAACTGATTGTAAGAAGTGATGTTTTGATGTGTCATTCCTGACATCAATCAGTGTTTTCAACAATTGTTTTGAGACTGAGAAAAGTTGAATTTTTTTCAATAAATTAATCTCATAAACATTTTGTTCATTGGCTTTGTTAAATTCGAGATCAGAAGTAATGGTTCTTACCAAGACCAATTTTGTGCTTGGTTTAGTCCCGCTCGACTGACACTAAGACTGCTCGAGTATTTTTTCTGAGTCATTTCCTAAAAAAAAAAACCGCTTTATCCTTCTTCCTCCTGCTTCTCGTACCTGTTCAATGCCTCGGCAAGACTTTTTTGTACCTTATCTTATGCCCAGTCACGTAAAATATGACCTAAATTCTCAAAACTTTCCGCCATTTTAAAACACAGAGGGAAAAACNTTGGATTCTAGTTTTGAATGAAAGGAGCGTTAATGACGGTGGAAATTTGGGTCCTCTGTGGTTGGTGATTCTCAAATCAGTTTGAAATAGTGTCGGAGATACCTTTTAGCTGCGATACAGCTGGCCGTGAGCTCTAGTGAACTTTACTTTGCTCACTGCTGTGCCCTGAAATGGACTGGAACATTCGCATCGGAAAGCAAGGTTATGTGTTTATTTTAACTGATTGTAAGAAGTGATGTTTTGATGTGTCATTCCTGACATCAATCAGTGTTTTCAACAATTGTTTTGAGACTGAGAAAAGTTGAATTTTTTAAATAAATTAATCTCATAAACATTTTGTTCATTGGCTTTGTTAAATTCGAGATCATGAAGCAATGGTTCTTACCAAGACCAATTTTGTGCTTGGTTTAGTCCCGCTCGACTGCCGCTAAGACTGCTCGAGTATTTTTTCTGAGTCATTTCCTAAAAAAGAACGGCTTTATCCTTCTTCCTCCTGCTTCTCGTACCTGTTCAATGTCTCGGCAAGACTTTTTTGTTCCTTATCTTATGCCCAGTCACGTAAAATATGACCTAAATTCTCAACACTTTCCGCCATTTTAAAACACAGAGGGAAAAGCTTTGTAATGATGACGTCAATCGTTCGTCTGTCCTCTAATAGATCATAGGCGAGAACCAATCAAAATGAGAGAATAACTTGGGTTATTACATAATCTTTGATAGACAGTGAGTAACGTACCAGTATGCGCTTGTTAACAAAATGACGGCCGCTTCTTCTGTGTCGGTGAAGAGGATTTAGATAAAGTTCTGAACGACTAGTAGATTTATAACAATTAGATTATTCGCTCTCTATTTTCATGCGTGATAGTTGACTCGAGCTGCGCCCTCGTCAACTATCACGCGATAGAAATCTCGAACTCATAATTTCATTGCTTATTATAGCAGCTCCTTCACTTAACTGAAGTAATAAGTTAACAATACAGAAAGATTATCAAATAGAAGCTGCTGAAATGGAATATCACGTACACATCGTACCGGTATTAAAATCATTATCTACTACCTAATTTTCTGTTTTCATTTTCAAAGACATCAATGAGTGTGATCCAACTAATCCTCGTCATCGCTGCAGCCAGATTTGTGAAAATATACCAGGAAGCTATAAATGTTCATGTGAAGAAGGATTTGAATTGAACAAGGATGGTTACCAATGTGAAGGTATTTAGCATGTAATCGTTAGTCTTATTTCATTTCTTTTGATATGATGATTTATGTTTAAAGCCCTTGCCAAAAGGACTCGCAAGTAGTCGCAAGCTGAAAACTTGGGTCTATTGCGACTCCGTTTAGCCAGGCCTCGTGCACTTGCGTTGAATTGCGAGGACTTGCGCTCACTTTGGTCAAGATCAAATTTGCACGCAATTCGACTCAAGTTTTTCACCGTTTGACCACGTACCCAACCCAAGTCAAAGCAAGTTGATTGACGTCCATTAACCTATTATTAGCCAATGAAATACAGGGTATGTCTGCCTTGAAATGGTTTTTCTTTTTTGCGACTTGCGTGTACCGAGAAGTCTTGCGGGTCCGTTTGGCCACCCAAAGCAAGTCTAGACGCAAGTTCAACTTTCGGCTACTCGCGACTACTTGTGAGTCCGTTTGGCCAGGGCTTATAAATAAATATATAATGTGCTTTGTGTCGAGCCTACTGACGAAATGACGAACAAGAAAAAAACGGCAATTTTACTTTATTTGTTGTATTAATTTAATCAGATGTTAATGAATGCCTGGATGGAGACTTGTACAAC